GACTAGTTAAATAAATTAAGTCATATCCATCTCATGAAATGCAGACATTAAAATATGTCTACGAATTTTTCATGATCTAGAAAAATGTTTATGACCCACTGGATAGCAAAACACAAAAACAAGATACAGAAGTCTCTGCTCAAAATTATCTCACCTGTGCAAAAAATAGGTTGAAAAATTCAGCAGGAAATATGGTAAAATGTCGGTAGTGTCTGCTTACACATGATGAGCTTATTTAGCTGTGCTTTGCAATTTTTCTCGAAGAGTATGTATTACTTTCCCCCCATTATATGTAACAAATGAACACATCCTCATAACAGTAAAAAAATATATAGAATGTATATACTTTCCCAATCTATAAAAACCAGATGTGAAATTTTCATCATCTGATTTGAGATGGTGACTATTACCCAAATAAAGTCTTCAAATTGTCTAACACAGTAGCTAATAGAAAAGGACAGAACTGGCTGGGCACAGTGGCTCACACCTGTGACCCCAGCACTTTGGACGGCTAAAGCAGGAGGATCAGGAGTTTAAGACCAGTCTGTAGGACATAGTGAGACCCCCTCATATCTATAAAAATTAAAACATTAGCCAGGCATAGTGGTATACAATTATAGTCCCTGTGGGGTGGGAGGATCACTGGAGCCCAGGAGTTTGAGGTTACAATGAGCTATGATGAGGCCATGCCCTCCAGCATGGGTCACAGAGTGAGACCCTGTTGGAAAGAGAAGGGAAGGGGAGGGGAGGGGAGGAAAGGAAAGCACAAAACTGAGTCAAACTATCTACAGGTCAAGTAACAGTATGCCAACCTCACCAACAGAAGAAACCAGATTTATCAAGGACATGCACCTCAATTTGGGAAGCAGATGAGAGTACCCGAGGGAAGAGGCTAAGAGAACACTGACACCCTGTCCCCACACTTCCAATTGTACATTTCTTAACAAGCAATGGAAATAGAGAATATTTACTTAAAGTTTCTGAATCTTGCACAGAAATCCGCTGGCTCAGTATCAAGCAGTGAACTAAAAACGACTTTCAAGGGGTTCTGGTTTAAGGATTGAGACATTTTCCAAATTTTCAATTTTTATTCCTTGCTTTTACCATCCAACAGAAAACCTCTGCTTAAGGATTTCCTCGGCGTCTGAATTCCAAGAGGCAGCAGAGACGCATCCATGAAGGGAATCCTTGCTTTATGAGGTCACTCTCGGGCATTCCGGTGCGTTACTAGCCTGCAGGCCCCTGAAGGGGAGCTCCCCGGCGTGCCTACCCACAGATCTCTCTTCCCAAGGAGACTGTGAGTGCCTCAGTTCAGCAACAAGGTTCTGAGCACCCAGCAATCACAAGGCTCTGGGCTAAAGCTGGGAGTCGTTAGAGGGAGGCCAAAGACACTCCCTTCTTCAGGAAGTGCCCTCATCTGGTAGACAAAGGCCCTTAATAATGTGTTAGAAAAGGTTAAGTTATATAAGGGGGAAAAGCAAAGTTCTCTGGGGTCCTAAGAGTGACAGGACACCTCCAGAGCACAGCACTGGAAACACTTTGAAGGACAAGGAAAGATTTTAATGGGTTTGAACGGGTTTGGGGCTAGAAGAAAACAGGAGGCGCAGAGAAGGTAACATACGCCCTGCAGTGGCTAACTACAGGCATGGAATGTGCACGTATAAACCACCTAAATACAATGTATGGGCTGAGCATGTGGGGTAGATATGTTTTACGTACAAGAGCAACGGGGATTTTTGCTCTGTTTAACTCTTGATATGTTCTCCTCACTCTCCTCCTAACTGCTGTGGCTTTCAAGGCGAATCAAGACAGAGGGATCTGGGTAGTCCCGTGTCACGTGTTTAGTGGCTAAATCGGAAAATTTCCTGAAAACCTAAGTTCTTGAGCTGTAAGAAAAGGAGGTGCCGTCCCTGGTATTCTAAATCAAGTGGATATGACCATTCCAGGTAGGAAAACACTCTTGTGGGCAACCAATATACAGAACTAGGAAACATTTACTCATTTTCTCCATTTAAAATCATCAACAGCAAAACTTTAAGAATCAGTATGATTAATGTCCCCAAGATTCAAACTTTGTCCCCATCTTCTCCCTCTATGTGCTCTCCCTCATGGATCAGCTCCTCCTGTCACTCTGACTGCCCCCTTTGGTCACAAGTCCCCTAATGCCTCTGGGGCTCCTGCCCAATGTCCATCCACAGTGGCCTCCTGGGGCGGCTGCTCCAAGAGAGCCTGCATCAGGTCTCTGTCTGTTTCCACCTGTCCCAGTACGTCAATGCGCCTAATCCCCTGGGGCACAGAAGGCCCTCGGTAATCGTGTGCTTTACGAATACACAGATTAATGGCATCAGAGATCCTTGTGCTCACTCAGACAGCTGAGTGTCGTGGGATTTCGTCTCCAGGAGCCATTACTGGCATGCTTCTGTGCCTTCTCTCTTTATTTATTTATTTTTTTAAGCTCTTCATTGCCAGCAATGTGTGTTCCCTCTTTAAGTACCAAAGCATACTTTTCAGGGAAAAACAGATTAAAAATGTAAAGAATTCTTTCACAATGCTTGGAGGGGTGAGGAGAGAGAGCTGGCTGAAAGCAGCAGGGAAGAGCCCAGTTTTCCTTTTTTTTTTTTTTTTGAGACAGAGTCTCACTCTTTTGCCCTGGCTAGAGTGAGTGCCGTGGCGTCAGCCTAGCTCACAGCAACCTCACACTCCTGGGCTCAAGCGATCCTTCTGTCTCAGCCTCCCAAGTAGCTGGGACTACAGGCATGCGCCACCATGCCTGGCTAATTTTTTCTATATAGATTTTTAGCTGTCCAAGTAATTTCTTTCTATTTTTAGTAGAGACGGGGTCTCGCTCTTGCTCAGGCTGGTCTCAAACTCCTGAGCTCAAACGATCCGCCCGCCTCGGCCTCCCAGAGTGCTAGGATTACAGGCGTGAGCCACCACGCCCAGTCCAACATACAGTTTTAAATCTTTTATTTCAGGTAACTTTTTTTAGATTGTAGATTTTAGTGTTTGCTCTACTCCTTAGCTCTGTTTTTGTTTTATTTCAAATTCAAGGGCTCCTATTATCCTTACACTGGATCTCTTCCAATCTTCAGTGTTCATCATTTTCTCCTAAATCCTTTTCATCTCATTTCTTATTGATTTGAAAAATTTTCCTCCATTTAATCCTATATTCTCATAAGCTATTATCTGTCTAGTTTAGTCTTCATTTTTGAAATCTTTCTTTTATTTCTAATTCTTTCCCGAGTTTTTTGTCACTTCATTTCTGTTCTTTTCTATCCAGTATCATTTTCTTAAATATTTACCTTGTGTCAAAATCATATGCTTTAAAGTCATATGCTACAGTTTTCATCTGCTTTGTGGGCATGTCTTTGCAGTAGGCTTTCATTCTCTATAGGTTGAGTATCCCTTATCTGAAATGCTTGGGACTAGAAGTGTTTCAAATTTCAAATCTTTTCAGATTTTCGAATATTTGCACTATCCTTACCAGTTAAGCATCCCAACTCTGAAAATCTGAAATTCAATATGCTCCAATGAGTATTTCCTTTTAGTATCATGTCAGTGTTCAAAAAGTTTCAAATTTGGTAGCATTTCAGATTTCAGATTAGAGATGCTCAACCTATATAAGGATATTATTCTCCAACTCATTGTCTTTTTTCTTATAGTAATTTTGTATTATAGGATTTTGTATAAAGGATTTGACGTCAATCCTTTTCTGTTGCGCTTTTTAACATAAAACTAGTTTTCCTGAATTTTTAGAAGATGTGGTTCTAACTTTACTGAGCTCTTTCTTCTGTTTTTGTGTTGTGTTTTAAAATGTGGTAGCAGCTAGGTGTGGTGGTTCATGCCTGTAATCCCAGCACTTTGGGAGGCCGAGGTGGAAGGACCACTTGAGGCCAGGAGTTCAAGACCAGCCTGGGCAACAGCAAGACCCCATCTCTACAGCAAAGTTAAAAATTAGTTAGATGTGGTGGCACACACCTGTAGTCCCAGCTACTCAGGAGGCTGAGGCAGGAGGATCACTTGAGCCCAGGAGTTTGAGGCTGCAGTGAGCTATAATGATGCTACTGCACTGTAGCCTGGGCAACAGAATCAACACCCCATCCCCAAAAAATAAAAATAAAAAATAAATGTGATAGCTTGATATTTGAGGTTTCCTGATTCTGTTCCCTTCCCCTAATTTCATCTGAACCTTCTCTCCCTTAATCTGTCTGTCTGTAATCTGCTCAATTTCTATTCCATTTCCAATACGTCTCCTAAGTGTGAGGTCCTGTCTTTAAGGGCAGCTCTGACTGGTCAGTTTTGAAAACTCATGGTGTCTGGACTATTCTGGCCCCAGGAACCTTTTGCTATGACCCAGTATTGGATTAGACAACACCCTTCCTGATATCAAACGCTGTTCTCACATCAGCCCATCACATTTTCTAATCAATACTTAATGGCTTCCCTCTGTTTCCTCCCTCGCAGAGGCTAATACTATGCAGTTCTTGTGGCTTATAGTGAGGAGATCTTGTTAACTAGTTTTATTGCAAATGCCGCCCATGGGTTCTTGCCTTTACTATCCAGTTGCTCTGTCTGTTTTTAAGAAGGGACTCAGGGAGATTTAAAAACTATGTCACCACAGCTGCTCCTACCACCATTCTCACAGATTTTAGAATGTATTTTAAAGGTTCTTAGAATTTCTAGAGAAAATTTCTTGAGACAAAATGTCTTAAAAATCTTACATTTTCAGAACTAAAACAAGTAAAACAGAAGAAAATGGACCCGTTTTGTCTGCTTACCTCCAAAACTCTGAACAAGTGGTATCTTATTTTATAACTGGTCCATAAGACCATGAAAAAGGCATTCAGTGAGATGGTGCTCATCATAATGATCTGAAAGAGACGACTCATTATGACTCTCTTCACAAATGCCCGACACTGCTCATCTTTCCTCCTGTTAAAAAGTTGAATAAGAGGTATGGTTATGTCACAACAGGGCTAGATCCCCACACAGTGCACACCTTTTTGTAGGGACAAGGATCTGCTTTCCCCGTTCAGTGAATATAAATTTACATATACTTTTAAGTAGCAATGAAATGTTGAATAATTTGGTTGTTTCCTTCTCATAAAAAAAAAAAAAAAAAAGAAAAGAAAAGAAATGTTGAATAATGATCCCTGAAATATGCATAATGATCACAATAGTCTGTCCCCACTCAGTTACTCAGTTTCCTCTTCCTGGACCTCTGAAAAAGAATGGTCACCACTCCTTCTCAAGCAAAACAAAGTGTCATCTTCATTTATTCATTTGACAAATCTTTATTTAGTGACAACCACACGCCAGGCACAGGGGACACAACACGAGCAAAATTAAATAAATATTGCCAGTCTACTATGAAAAACTGATAATAATTAAATAATCACCCATACACATACTTACAAATCAGTGATTAAAAACTGAACACCTTAAGAGAAAATGAGCACATAATCAATTCATGAAAGAAATAAAAAAGGCCAATTAACTTCTCCCAAAATACTCAATAGTGATACTCATCAGGGAGATGCAAAGTAAAGCCATTATTTTTGTTTAGAAAATTAGCAAAGATAGAAACATGATAATATTTAATGCTGGCAACAGTGTAGAATGATGAGGCATTCTCATAAATTGCGATTCTCATAAATTGACCAACTTTTCTGAAAAGCCTTAGAACCATTCATATCCTCTGCCCCCACCAATCTATTAATATTCCAAGAGAATATAACCTGGAATATAGACAGTGACTCTGGCTAAAGATGTTTATCCCAGTAGTATTTATAGTATT